CAGATAAAAGTTAGCAATGCTAAGCTATTTATGCATTCCCTATGTTTAAATATGCAATATTAAATTATATACATATATAAAATATATATATAAATATATACATATACTCACACATAACATATATATATATATATATATATATATATATATATATTATATATATAAAACTAAAGGTTTAAAATGGTCTTTTAGGTGATTTTAAAATAATTTTACACGAAAGTTCTAATTAATTATACGTATAATACACGAGGCGCACATGATTCATAGAAAAAAAAATCAAATCAGGAAAGAATCATTATAATGATAATTTATAAATGAGTAATTGAGCAACGCAATTTTTATTTTTAATATTTATTTATTCTCTTTCAAGATTGTACGTACGTCAGTGTCATATTTTACAATGTTGCGATCAGCGAAAAATTAACAAAAAATTAACGAAAAATTAACTGTTCGTAAGCTGATATTGCGTACTTAAACTTAAAGTGTAATAACATGTAAAATATAAACGATTGCAATATGTTTTAACTAAGGAAAGTTTAGAATAAATACTGACAACACACAATTATAACATTTTATGGGATCCGACATTAAACATTGGTACTTTCCACCCTAAAAATTTTATTTCTACGGATGCATAAGGCATTCCTACGTTTGTTCGTGTTTTATCTGGATTGAATTTTACACCATACTCAGGTATGCCATTCCTAATTATTTCCAGAAACCTATAAAAATTGATATATAAGATTTTACAATTTATTTTGTGCATGCGTACATGCACGCGCGCATACATGTCAATAATATAAACAAGATTACTGAAATTACTTTGCTGCATGATGTTCATTTTCAGTAAAATATAACATATCATCAACATATTTAACTAAAAGACCATTGTTCGTATATTCAGAGAATATTTCTTTAATCATGTGTTGATAATATATATCAGATAAAATCGAAGATACTGATAAACCTTGTGGTACACCAGCTTTTATCGAACGTATTTGACCATTTAATTTGATCTACGATAAAAATATTATTTAATATTAATTGCAACTTTCATGTATATTTGTTTTACCTTTTGTTGAAATATTAATTCATACAGCTTAGAAGTGACCCATATTTTTTTAACTAATTTGGGTTTTTCTATGCTTGGATCTATATGTTTGGATATTAATTTTTTCAGATGATTAGATATAATCTGCACTGTATATTTGTATATCTTATTTCGCTTTTTCTTAGGTTTGTTTAGAGTACAAAGTTGTACAGCAATATACCCCTCTAATTCTCGACAATACATATGAATAATATCATATAATTTTTCTAAAACAGATTAATAAAATACTTGATAACAAATATATTAAATGTGATAAACAATAAATTATACCTTGTAATATCGAACCAAATGCATCTCTAATGTCACATTGAACAAAATATAAATGATTCTCAGATCTTGGTGTTAAAAAATTACGAATTGCATGTTTGCATCCTGCTACAGTTGGGATCCCATTTTCACTAAAGTACGTGATATATAATTGTTGAAGAAATCTTAAAATAACGTCAATTTCATCATACTTTACTTTAGTATCATGCCTAAAATTGCAAATATATATATATAATATATGTATACACATACACATACATACACACACAACATACACATACAAAATACTTTATTAATATTTAAATTTATTTATAGCATGAGGGAACAACATTGAAGGAATGTTAAACAGATTTTTATGTACTTTGTCATATATAATGGTCTCAAACCAGAAGAACTTGGAATAAATTTATATGTTCCAGTAATTCGTTTCTTATTTGATGTCATATATGGCACAAGACTACCAGATTTCTCTTTTTCTTTTATATAATCATTTTGCATATTGCACCAATCATCTTTTGTGATGTAAACCCATTGCTTTCTAATTGCTATCAAGACCACATATTTATGTAAAATCTTTATGACATATTGTGCAAAAAACCAATGTAATAGCTTCAGTATAATTATCCATTGTATTGTTGCATCATCAACTGAATGTAACCAATTAATTTTGGAAATCTAGAAAAGAAAATAATGTAGAAAATATTGGAAAATTTTATGAAATTGATAAAAAAAATGACAATAGTCTTAACAAGATCAAAATTTTCTATAAATTTTTTAAACTTTCAAACATACATCCAACTTCCTGAATAATAGTTCCAAAACTAGCGATGCCCCAGTGGCAATTGTTTTTCGTACAGTTCTTTTGAAAGCACTCGTTATTAATATTTTATTTGGAACTGTCTTTAAGAGATGAGATATTGTCTTCTTTACGACCTTTTGATTTTTTAAGGTGCCAAATAATTCAAGAGGAACATTTTCGTATACTATCAAACCAAAGAAAGATTGTAATGAATGGACATGAATTTGATGCTTGAATTTTAAGGATGGATACTGTTTCCTGTCTTTATCTATTATACATTTCAATTTATCAAAATAATTGTATTTATTATGTCGGTTCTTGAACAATGTTATTATTGGTGACAAAGCAGGAATAACACTATCTAAATTAACGTTTCTATAATATCCTGTAAGCCCAATATCTGTACTTAGAATTTTATGACACATATCCTGCTGTGTATTTTTGCTTTCTAAAATAGAATATTTTGAAATTTTTGCCGTAGTACGATTTCCCTTCCGTATTTTACATCTAGACTGAAACAATTTCACTCTAGAATTATATACTTGAAGTGGAATAGGACATGTAACTTTTGTCACTGTTTTTAACTTTAGACGTATGTTTCTATGTTTCTTATTCCACCTTCCCCTATATGAAATATATCTATTTCTGAAAAAGAAAAAAAAATTGATACTTGAAGAAAAAGAAAATAATAAAAAATGATAACACAAAATTTTTTAATCCTGATTCTGTATATAGTGTAATTATGCTACTTTTTAAAAAGAAAATTAATACATTAAAAAGAAAATATTAAAAGAAGAAAAAATTAACAGAAACCTGTAGTTATTTGTAAAAGATAGTGTATCACAATTACGAATCATCTTTATTAGAAATTTTTAAGTGTTCCAACATAAAAATTATGGTATCAGAGAATGAGATAAGGAATGATGCAATATGTATGTATAGATGTACATAGATGTACTGAACAGAGAGGAACCTAAGAGAGGACATGAAGGCCTTTTTCTTGTAACTGTAAAATGCCCCGCGCACTACTGCCATCTGAAGAAGTGAATGTTAACTACAAAACGTATTCACTGGTATTCACTTAAGGCCAGTTTCACCAACGCCAATTAGCTTAATCGGCCGTTGATTGACCAATCGCGTTTGCTGTTTAATATTGGGTCATCTAAAAAGTATCCGCGGTACTTTGTCACTAGATATATGACCATCAACACACATCCAATAAAATCGACCAATTGCAGTTGACAGTTAAGGCTTAAACACAACAAGCAACAGGCACGGGAAACAGGGAATAACGAGCTGTCCAATCAGAGCTTTGAGATATAATATCAAACTTATACATCAGAGCTCTGATTGGACGGTTCGTTATTCTCTGTTGCCTGTGCTGGTGCCTTTTGTGTTTAAGCCTTTAATCACGATTAAGCTTGATCGATTGGTGAAACCGATCCTTATTTACGATTTTCATCATGGAACATACAGCGGCACCGTGTTTTGAGCCCATTTTTTTTAGGACCGACCGCTTGAGTTAGATCTTCTTTTTACTCTGTGGTGTCACCAAAAGGTTACTGGCTCTCCAATTGGTTCATGCCAACTGTTACACAGTGATAAGAGGCATCTGAAGAGTGCGCTGGTGGTGCAATATGTTCTCAATTTAGCTTGAATAATCCTTCTCACTTCTCAGGTTTTTTTCTGATACGATTAAGAGAGAAGGAGAGCATTTTAAGAAATGTAAAATACATAACCTGTACGAAACAAATAGTAATTTATATCTGATAACAAGAAGAAGCAAATTAATAGGCATGAAAGAGTTTTTTCTCTTACACTTTTGTACGATCTCCTAACGATCTCTTAACGAATATCTCTTAGAATTTATTGAGTACCTCTATTAGTGTATATTTGGAATATAGGTTGTATTTGATATGCAGTTTTTATATTTCTTATAGCGTAATAAGTCATTTGTCTTTACACAGAGATATTGTAATTACCCTTATATCTCATTACGTGAATTCTCTTATTGGGAAACATTCCTTTCTAAATAATTATTGTGCTATCATTCTGTCATAATGTTGCAAAAAATACACAGGTTACTACAGATTACGGTGAGTATTTTATAAATATAAAAATATATCCAATGCAAAAAATGATTCTTTTGAAATAATCTTTTTATGAAAATTGACAAATTAAATCAGCTTTCTTTTTTTTCTTTCTTTAACAGGCTTATGGACACAAAGTAAGCAGTAGATATTTAAACTTTGTTCCAATTGTAGTGGAACAAAGTGGACGTGGTGAACGTGCATATGACATTTATTCGCGTCTCCTGAAAGAAAGAATTATTTGTCTTATGGGTCCAGTACGATGCACAACTTTATTATTATTATTATTTACACATTAATTTATAATTTTATAAAGAAATGAAGTCCATCATCTTTATAGGTCACAGATGTTGTAGCTTCTGCAGTAATTGCTCAACTTCTTTTTCTTCAGTCGGAAAGCAGTAAAAATCCGATTCACTTATATATTAATTCACCTGGTGGGAGTGTAACAGCAGGACTTGGAATATATGACACTATGCAATATGTTCTTCCACCTATTTCTACATGGTGTGTGGGTCAAGCATGTTCTATGGCAAGTCTACTTTTAGCAGCTGGAACCAAAGGTATGCGTCATTCTTTACCAAATGCTAGAATCATGATACATCAACCATCAGGAGGTGTACAAGGACAAGCTACAGATATTCAGATACAAGCTACAGAAATCCTGAAATTGAAACAACAGATCAATGAATTATATGTGAAACATACTGGACAAAATTTAGAAGAAATAGGTATGCCTGTCATATCACATCTAGGCTTTATAAAATTTCTTTTATAAAAATCATATTGCAGCAAAGAGTATGGAGAGAGATAATTTTATGAGTCCAACACAAGCTAAAGAGTTTGGAATTATAGATAAAGTATTGGCTCATCCCATGCAAGAAGAAACTACAGAGACAGCAACGGAGAAAATGGATAATGTATTGAAAAAACCTTAGTACTACTGAATAGGAAGGATACATGGGTTCGATTTTATTGGTATGTTGTAATAAATTCATTAAAAAGATGTATCATTATATATTTAATAATAATAAACTATTTATAAAACAATTATAAATTGTATCCTATTCAACTGAAAATGATATATTCATTTTCAAATTGGCATATATAAAACATACTAATTTATAACAGCAATATGAATGAGTATTAAAATGATATATTTCTTCAGAGTATATCTTCAAACAAGCGTGATATATCGATATAAAAGCAAGTGTCCAATTTGCAAAATATTCGGTAAAAAACCTTTTCACCCAATGGATATCATGGTATACTAATAGTTTGTTTTTGTTTATATCTCATAATGTAAGTTGTTTATAAAATTTATATTCCCAGCGTTCTTATAAATTATAAATATGAATTACATCATTATATATATATATATATATATATATATATATATATATTTGTATGATCGTTATCTTAAAATTTTATCTTAAAAATGCTGTTAATTTATAGTTTATAGTTATTATTGTGAATATCACACGCGCGCGTGCACACACACATTTCATACCCTTTTTCAATTCCAAATACATTGTGAAATTATATCTGTCGATCTTGAATTGTACTCTGATGATTAAGCAGAAATCTTACGAAATATAGATAATGGAAGACAAGCCTTGCGTCCCAAAATATATACACATACAAGTAAAATGTAATATATAAAAATGCGAGTATTCTATATTGTGTGCACACAGTATATCTTTATGATGCTTAATAATGATATTTATATATACTTAGTATTTCTATATAATCAAAATATCCCATTTAAGATCTATTATCACCAGAAATGCTTTATAAAAAAAAAGCTCTATGAAAAGATACGCTTTATAAAAAGGACGGAAGTTGTTTTCATTGCCATAAAGTTAAGCCCTAAAAAGAATTAAGTAAAACGGTCTTTATAAAATAATCTAAAAAAAAATAATTTTTTGTCTTTTTTTTTTTAAAACTTATTCCTTGCAAAAGACCAGTCTTGTACATTATTTATTTTAATGACATTCACGTTAGAATTCACTGCGGACAAACCTGCGCATGTGCGAGCATTAGTATATCTTTCTTCTCTTTTGGAAATCTAAGTTCTCGTCCCGCTAATCGCGCAGTTTCAAGTTCACGCTCAGCTAAAGCCAATTCCATTGCCACGATCCCACCACCACTTTCGTGTTCTCTAGCAACCCAGTCTAATGCCATTTGGCTACGCATATCGTCGTCTAATGCCCGATGACTATAATGCGCGACTACTTCCTGCCTGCTGCACTGCCTCTCTCTCATGGCTTTTAAAGAGCCATTCCAATGAAGCAATTGAAAGACTGTCATTAACTCTTGGAATTCCAACATTGTTCTTCCACGATTGCATTCCAACATAAAACGGAACGCACCTATACCTGTATTTGGATCTTCTTTCTCATCTCCGCTTCCCTGAAAGCATATGCATTTAATTGTTCCTAATTTAATGTAATAAATAACTTAATTTAATGTAATCAATAATATTTTATTTACTTGTGCTTGGCTACCAACTCCGTTGGATGTTGCTGAAGGTTTGGCAAAACTAGCTCTTGCCTCTGCGACAGCTTTTTCAATAAAATCATCAGTAATCTTTCGCGATGGATGTTCATTGAATACAGAATTCATCAATGCAATTTTTGCAGCCGATCTACGTGCTTCCGCCTTTGTGGGACAGTTTTGAAAACTCCCGAAACACGATCCTCCAGGAAGTGTTACATAACAAACGTAAGGTGGATTGGCACCAGGAACAGATTCATAAATAACTAATGCACCATTTCTCAATTCTGTTCCTCTAGCTTGTTTCATCTGCCAAAATTCTTGCAATGCTTCTACGACATTTACTGTATATACATAAAAAAAATATATATATATTATATGTATACAAAAGTATACAAAATTAAAAGTAGTCAAACAATTATAAAATTAAGTTAATAATAAGAAAGAAATTTCTTTATAATATACCTCTGCCATAACCTTGACTATGTTTTGCAAAGCTATTAACAACTGCATCTACAGCTTCTCTTAAAACTTGTTTGGCACGAGCATCTACCAGTCCACCTGTGACCCCCATATTTTCAGTAACACGTGATTTTGTCTTAACTGGCATCATGCCCTGCATTACTCAAAAACTTGCATTTATTTACTCTGCAAAAATATAGCATCTCTTTAGTGTTATTTCTAATCTCCAAATCACAATAATAAACATAGTAAAGTGCTTTTAGAATTTTTGATATTTCATAGAATATTATAATACTTAATGTTGTATGCACAAGAATGTAGAAATTATTTCAAGATTTCAGTAAATAGAGCATGTGTTCATGTAATCAAGCTATATACAAATTCGTGATTAACGGAAACAAGATTTTGTTCTTTTACGAATTCACCGACACCATCCACTCGTTGACATTTGCATTCATCGCACTCATCGCACTTACGATCGGGATTAGGTCAGCGTTCGTGCCGTCGATCACGATATTCATGAATTAACGATCGCAATGATGATCACGACCACACGTTGACGCAATACGTCTCATTTACTCTGATTTACTTACCAAAGAATCGGCAAGACAATGCTGTGTGCGCGCACACTGTGAACACCGTCTTCCTGACCGTCGACCGTCGACTGTCGACCGTCGACCGTCGGCTCGACGAGTCAGACGAGTGTGTGTCGGATGCTGCGCGACAACGGGAGCGGAGAGACAACGGTGGCATCGGGCGTGGGAAGGAACCCAGGAGATCTGGACCGTCGGACAGGACAGAGACGTCAGAGACCCGGATGCCCAGGAATTCGCGTAAATTACTCTCCAATCTGATCGGGGCACTGCACCGTCCACCGAACCTGACGAACCTGACCGAACTGAGCTGAGCAGTGAGCGCCGCAGGATCAAATTGCAAGACACTCATATAACGCGTTTAATGGCCCCGGACTCCGGACCGCTGACGATTTCCAGAAAACCAGGGCCGTGCAACTCGCATGGACGCCTCGCGTCACCCGAGCTCCATCCATTCGATTCCCCAGATTTTCTTCTTTGTCAGTTGATTGTCCAGTTTCCCTTTGTCGTAAACTCAATATTTGCTAGCTGCGTTATATTTTTTTTTACTTTTTTTTTACACAACGCATGAATTCAATCGCATCGCGTCAAGAATTTCTTTCGTTATCAAATAGCGGTAAAACTTTTCATACGCGATTTTCATAGGCGAACCATTATAGAAAAAGTGTCTAGTGTAAAAAATATTTTTTTTTATTATTTACTTATTATTAGGAAATATAAAGATTATGAGAAAATGCTATGCAATCTCAAAGACAATAACATGACGTGTATCTTTACTGCTTTAAATTAAATGTTAAATTAATTTTAATTAACCATCGCGCGTATATTGCGTCTGACGTGTTATTGCTTGTTCAATATAAGAATAAAAAGAAGAAGATATTCTCCTAAAAGTAAAATTGCGAAAAGTCACGTCAATTCTATCATGTTCCGCTCCTCTCATCATCGGTGTCTCCGCTATTCTCCGTGTAATACATATATAGATGCGTGTAGATTATACGCACACTAATATAAGACTTGCGTGTGTACGTTCCAAGTGCATTATCGGAGCAACTTGGAGCAACTTAAACAACTTGAAATCTAGACGACTAGATTTCTCGCGAGACGACTCAATCACAAGTGCGCCGTATTGCGATCGCTTTTTGAAAATCTAAAGCACCTGTAGGTAAAACAGCAGATATCATAGCGCGCTAAATTCAAAAGTATCTTGTCTTAAGGATTAATAAATAATTTAAGATACGTTAAGGAATAATAGATAATAAATTCGCATCTTGACAAATTATAATAAACGATAAAGAGAAAGCGTTACTTTCGCGAATAAATTATGACTTTGTTTATAACACGACGTATTTCTCCTTACAAATATTTCTTTCAATTTATACATCTGTGTCAATCTACGAAAGACAAGTAACTTCTGAATACACACACACACACACACACACACACACAGAGTATTGTGTTTCTCTTATTAGTAATTAATATATATTTATTAAAATAAAAAGTTGAATCTTGAAATCATGATACGACGATACAATATACACATATTGGAATCAAAGTATATAATTCTGCGAAACACAATCCGACACGTAATCTTACCATTAATATTATAACATTGTACGTACACGTGTTATTTCATATTATTACATTTATATTACTGAGTGGAAAATTATAATATTGATACTCAATGTTACTATTCATTTTGTATTCTGTGTATTTAATTTTGACTGCTTTTGAAATATCTCACTATTTTATAGACATTTAATTATTGCGCATCTATTTAAAAAGAAAAATATCTTCAATCTTTTCTATATTGTTGATCGTATAACACGTGAGGTATATATTATCAATGTCGTAGGCGCGTGATAATTCGATTAATGTGTACGGAAAAAGAGAGAAAAACCACCTTGATATTCTCGATATTCTCGCAGTAATAATGGAATATCGCGCAAGCAGGTAATGGCACTAATGGCGCGTTGGATACGTGGCAAGACACAAGTTTCTCGTTTGATCTGCCTACGGCCTACGGAAGTAGGAAAAGCCCGCGTCGCGCCGCGCCGACCGCGCCGATTTATGTATGGCGATTTACGCGCGCACATTTCCCGCGGTGACTGCGATGCAATCGTCGTGTGTTGCTCCGCACACCACTGCACACTTGCACTGACTTGTACGCGAATAGGTGTGCGTACGGCGGATCAGCTGAGCGCCAGCTGTGCCGCGCGCCTCGACCAATCGGTGACGAGGATAGCAGCGCGGCGTGGCGCCCATCGCTTCGGCCGTCGGCGTTCCCGCGAAACGCCAATTTGCAGGCGGCAGTTCACTCCGTTCCGCGTCACGGCAGAAACGCGTTCGCGTTCGCGTCTTCCGTCATCTGCCGCGAGCGAACAACCGTAATAAGTTAATCTACACGCGAGGGTGTTCACATTTGCTCCGTTCCGACGGCGAAGTCAGTGCAAATCAGGGTGATATCCGCGTGACGAGAGCGGCAACAACCAGCCGAGGAGACGCGTGCGCGACGCGTAGCTGTGACGGGCCTTCGCTTACTGCGTATACAGGACTTCGTTTATGGTTCACGAAACTCTCTGGACTTGCGTCCGTCCCTAGGAGCCTGCGTCATTGACGTCGATCGCTGTACTAAGCACTAAGCGACATTTGGCCTGATTTAGCCCAAGCGAGCTGGCTGAACGCAGGTATACCTTGCGGAAGAACGTTCATCGTGGAGTCGCCTTTCGGTCGACAGATAAATCAAAACTGACGCGCGAAAGGGATAAAGATTCAGGAGTCGAGGTA